CTTCCACTTTATGTCCGTTACTGCTCGAGACCCGACTGGAGACAAAACGGTACAGTGATTTATTCTCTGTTAGCTGGTGAGGTGAACGGTGCCCCGGTTTCCTCCTATCTGTCTGTTAACGGAGACACGGGGGTGATCCACGCTGTGAGGTCGTTTGATTATGAACAGTTCAGGAGCTTTTAAGTCCACGTGATGGCCAGAGACAACGGTTCTCCTCCGCTCAGCAGCAACGTGACCGTGAGTGTCTTCATATCAGATGTGAACGACAAACTCTCCTCAGATACTGTACCCCGCCCCGGAGGGCAACTCCTTCATGACCGAGCTGGTCCCCAAAGCTGCACACGGAGGCTCTCTGGTGTCCAAAGTGATAGCGGTGGACGCGGACTCCGGACAGAACGCCTGGCTGTCCTATCATATAGTGAAATCCACTGATCCGGGATTTTCACTATTGGTCTCCACAGCGGAGAGATCAGGACACAGCGGGACATTTCTGAATCTGACAGCATGAAACAGAACCTTATTGTGGCAGTGAAAGATAACGGACAGCCATCTCTCTCTGCCACCTGTTCCATGTATTTACTTATTTCTGATAACTTGGCTGAGGTGCCAGAACTGAAGGATATTTTCTTATGATGAGAAGAATTCCAAACTGACCTCTTACCTGATCATCGCTCTGGTTTCTGTGTCCACCTTTTTTCTGACTTTCTCATCATCATCCTGGGTGTTGGACGCGGACTCCGGACAGAACGCCTGGCTGTCCTATCATATAGTGAAATCCACTGATCCGGGACTTTTCACTATTGGTCTCCACAGTGGAGAGATCAGGACACAGCGGGACATTTCTGAATCTGACAGCATGAAACAGAACCTTATTGTGGCAGTGAAAGATAACGGACAGCCCTCTCTCTCTGCCACCTGTTCCATGTATTTACTTATTTCTGATAACTTGGCTGAGGTGCCAGAACTGAAGGATATTTCTTATGATGAGAAGAATTCCAAACTGACCTCTTACCTGATCATCGCTCTGGTGTCTGTGTCCACCTTTTTTCTGACTTTCATCATCATCATCCTGGGTGTGAGGTTTTGTCGCAGGAGAAAGCCCAGACTGTTGTTTGACGGAGCAGTCGCCATATTGACGGCACAGGAACTTTACGCAGCACTTACAATTATGACGCGTACCTGACAACAGGTTCTAGAACCAGTGACTTTAAGTTTGTGACATCTTACAATGACAACACACTTCCTGCTGACCAGACTCTGAAGAAAAGCCCGACAGACTTTGTTGACGTGTTTGGCCCGTCAGATGAGTCTCCAGAGGTAGGCCATATACACTTTTGTATCTAACATTCAACGTTTATTGTGACCACCCAGTGTCATCATCATGCAGTTCAAGTAACTTTGCAACTAAATAAATGAGTAGATCATTTTTGACATTATCAATTATTTTTCATGTGATGCTTATGTATGAAGTAATTTTTTGGCATAAAAGACTATATTCATAACTCTCTTTCGAAATATATTAGAACTTAATTTTTTTCTTGGCTCTGCCTTTTTCGTTCAATTCTTGCTGATGATTTAATACCGTTTCTTCACAATATCTGGACCATAAGCTTTTTGAATGAATGGAAATCTGTTCATTTCATACAGTTCAAAACAGCAGTAATCAAAGTTTCATTTTTTTATACATTGCCTACTACTTCTCACATGTGTGCTTAAGCGACAAATAGAACGTTGACCCATATATTTTAATACATTTCAAGCGACTGCTTGAAATACTGTTTTGATTGCCATCATTGATAATATAGCCTTTTTGATTTTCTTAATTGACGAAAAATTAAACAGTTTGTTTTATATAGGCCTATAGAATATAGAGCATTCATGTGGCCCTCAGACATTGCCTAACTACCACACAGTTCGCTATTGGATATTATACTTTTATGTATCTGTTGTTAATGAAACAATGACTCACAGTGAAAATAAAATAACTTTCCATTCTACATTACATAAACGTGAAAATAAGTTGAAAATATTTTGTAGACCTCCCTATGTTTGAAATTGAAACACGTTTTTCCATCACTAGTTTATAATAACGTAATACATACCATGGAACTTGAAACATAATTAATTTTTCTTTTTCGTGGTCAGTATGTATTATTGATACTATGAAGACTGAAATTTTAATTAAGGGGAAACTTTGCATTTAACTCTTGCCGTACAAACGCTGTCCATGGTGCTGAATGTTTTTTGGCTGTATGCGCCTATTTAACCGAACTCAACACATCCCAATAAAAACTTTCACTTGAAATATAGCGTATCCATATTGAGCGTAGCAGCAACTACGGAATTGTATGTTAGACTAGATCTTCTTTAATTGTAATATCTCAATTAAACTCAGGGAGTCGCTGCTGACTTGCAGATGTGAGGGCGTTAATATCTCCACCTACTGCAACAGGAATAATCCAAGCATTCAAAACAGACCTGTCATTGTTGGGGGAGCGGCGTTTCTTAGTTTTATCATAACGGTATTACAGACAAGAAATATTCTCGTGTTTATATTTTCTGTAGGGAAAATGATGGACCACAGAGGACAATCGTTCAGTTTTGTCTGTGGCTTTGCTCTTTTTATCCACATTACCACCGCAGACCTGAGCTATTCTGTTCCGGAGGAGATGAGGCCTGGATCCATTGTTGGAAATATTGCCAAGGACCTCGGGCTGGAAGTGGGGAAATTGTTGACTCGTAAAGCCCGTATTGATACCGAGGAAAGCTACCAGAATTATTGCGCTATTGATCTAAAAACGGGAGATTTTGTCATCAGGGAAAAGATTGACAGAGAGGAGTTTTGTGGGGAGAAGGTTTCGTGTATGCTTAAATTCGAATTAGTCCTAGAGAGCCCTTTGGAGCTGCACCGCATTTCACTGCTCATCCAGGATGTAAATGACAATTCACCCGTTTTTCCAAAGGAAGTAGTTAAATTGGAATTAAGAGAATCTGCCGACAAAGGAGCTCGGTATCGTGTCAACGAAGCACATGATGCGGACATCGGGCAAAATACCGTTAAACAATACAATTTACAAAAGAATGAACATTTTATTTTGTCTGTTCGAGAAGATACTGATGGATCTAAGAGCGTGGAGTTGGTGTTGGACAAAGAACTAGACCGTGAGAAAGAGCACGATTTAAATTTCATGCTGATTGCGGTTGATGGCGGCAATCCACAAAGATCAGGAACTGCAAATATACACGTGACTGTGCTGGATGCCAATGATAACGCTCCGGTGTTTGACCAGGCCTTTTACAAAGCCAGTCTGCCTGAAAACGCTGCCCTTGACACGGTTGCTATTACTGTAAGTGCCAGTGATGCAGATGAGGGAATCAATGGGGAGGTGACTTATGAATTTAGTCGTATTTCAGAAAGAGCTAAAAAAGTTTTCTCACTGAGCAGTAAAACTGGAGAGATAAAAGTCATAGGACCACTTGATTTCGAGAGTAATTCTAAATATGAAATGCGCATCGATGCCAAAGATGGTTATGGACTTTCGTCTGATTCCAAAGTCATGATTGATATTACTGATGTTAATGACAACGCTCCAGTGATATATTTGAAATCCCTGGTGAATCCCATACCTGAGAATGTGTCACCTGGTACAGAGGTGGGCATCATTAACGTGCAGGACAGAGACTCTGATACAAACGGACAGGTCCGCTGCTCCATTCAGCAGAATGTCCCTTTAAAGTTGGTTCCTTCCATTAAAAACTATTATTCTCTGGTGACCACAGGACAACTGGACCGTGAACTAGTGTCTGATTACAACATTACAATCACTGCCACTGACGAGGGATCTCCACCTCTGTCCTCCTCTAAAACTGTTGAGTTATCTGTAGCTGACATCAACGATAACCCACCTGTGTTTGAGGAACAGTCGTACAGCGCATATGTGACTGAAAATAACAAACCTGGCTCCACTTTATGTTCCGTTACTGCTCGAGACCCCGACTGGAGACAAAACGGTACAGTGATTTATTCTCTGTTAGCTGGTGAGGTGAACGGTGCCCCGGTGTCCTCCTATCTGTCTGTTAACGGAGACACGGGGGTGATCCACGCTGTGAGGTCATTTGATTATGAACAGTTCAGGAGTTTTAAAGTCCACGTGATGGCCAGAGACAACGGTTCTCCTCCGCTCAGCAGCAACGTGACCGTCAGTGTCTTCATATCAGATGTGAACGACAACTCTCCTCAGATACTGTACCCCGCCCCGGAGGGCAACTCCTTCATGACCGAGCTGGTCCCCAAAGCTGCACACGGAGGGTCTCTGGTGTCCAAAGTGATAGCGGTGGACGCGGACTCCGGACAGAACGCCTGGCTGTCCTATCATATAGTGAAATCCACTGATCCGGGACTTTTCACTATTGGTCTCCACAGCGGAGAGATCAGGACACAGCGGGACATTTCTGAATCTGACAGCATGAAACAGAACCTTATTGTGGCAGTGAAAGATAACGGACAGCCCTCTCTCTCTGCCACCTGTTCCATGTATTTACTTATTTCTGATAATTTAGCTGAGGTGCCAGAACTGAAGGATATTTCTTATGATGAGAAGAATTCCAAACTGACCTCTTACCTGATCATCGCTCTGGTGTCTGTGTCCACCTTTTTTCTGACTTTCATCATCATCATCCTGGGTGTGAGGTTTTGTCGCAGGAGAAAGCCCAGACTGTTGTTTGACGGAGCAGTCGCCATCCCCAGCGCTTATCTGCCTCCTAATTATGCAGATGTTGACGGCACAGGAACTTTACGCAGCACTTACAATTATGACGCGTACCTGACAACAGGTTCTAGAACCAGTGACTTTAAGTTCGTGACATCTTACAATGACAACACACTTCCTGCTGACCAGACTTTGAAGAAAAGCCCAACAGACTTCCTCGAAGCTTTTATCGAGTCTGACGATTCTTCCCAGGTAAAGACTCCATAGTTAAAGGCTCAGTATTCCACACACTTTATTGAGGATTTACTTCACCCATGATTTTAAAACAGGAATATAGGGTATATCTCATTTTGATGTATCCTATTAACAAAAGCTTTTAACCATTACATACTTTGCTATAAATTAATATAATGTTATCTTATTTTCCTTCTATCAGCAGTTATCGTGTTCAAGATTCCTGCTGTAAATTGAGCACAAGCTACCGTCCTTTAATGTTATAGGAAGAGCTGGGACTTGCATATAGTGAGCATTGGCGACATGAAATAATGATTCTGACGCTTTGCTTTAGCATATTGCTCTGCGTTTTGTTGCTAGCATATTATGCTTACTTTCTCTTTTCATGTCATATAGGATATAAATGCTCCTCTTAGAACATTCAGGAAATAATCATTACAAGATTATGGAACATATTCTTGCAGTCCATTCCTGATGTGGCAGTGTCTATGGTTCTGCATACCAGAAAAAAACCCTGATATGTTTACTTCATTCTTCTATTTAAATCGAACAGTTTTTTGGAGATGATCATGGTCATATATATACATCAACTAAGTATTATTTTTGTTTATCTTATTTGTTTACATAATGCATGTGTAAAACATGGTTTTGAGGTTGGTTGCCTTACATCTTTTGGTGTTTCTTGTGTTTTACTCATCTAAACATTTAAATTAGTTCGGTAAAAATGTAAAGCCACAGTTAATTATGAAGCAGTCATTTTAGTGAAGTAATGGTAAAAGGTCATTAGTTCAAAATATAGCTACTTCTTTAACACTCCCTCCCTTTTCTATATTACATACCCGTCTTTTATCCCTTAGCAGTAGCTTTAGATCATTGCATTAAATAATACTTCAATGTTGACAGTTATAAATTGTGGAATTGCAGCAATGATCATATGTGATATTTAAGACCCTGTACAGACCTGGCAATAGCCAACGCAATGCAGCCGCGTTACGACTCATTTCCAGTCAGTTACTACATTTTATCTTGATCAAGTGTTTTTAACATTGGCAACTGTGCTTTCTGGTGATAATGATTACTATCAGACAAGTACGCCGTTTTTCCTCTCTACAACTCTGTGAAATTGGATCCAGCCATATTGATGTGTCCCATCAGTTTACCTCAAAGCTGGTGCATTGGGCTATTGCTAGTTTAATAACGTTCCTCATTAACTGAGACAACGCCTGTATTTTTGTTGTTGGGAGCCGAGTGCTGCCACCAGAGCAGTAAGGTAGGCTAATTGGTCTTTTATTTTTTCTTTTCTTTATTTTAAGGTACCATTGATTTAAAAAAAAAAAAAAAAAAAAAGTGAATTTTTGGTAGATCAACGATTAAGAAATAACTTCCTCATTTTTTTTTCTTTTGGAAATCAAACATGACCATTTCTCTGAAATGTTTTTTGGTAACGGACGTTTGAGGTTTTCCAGATGAATGCGAATAGGCTCTGTCCATGGTGCTGAACATAGTGCTGGCAGTGTGGTAAACGGAAGGCAGTTAAGAGGCATGGCTGTACAGTTTTCTATCGGTATACTAGTTTAGTTTTAAGACGCATGTATCAATAAAACGTAATTAAAAAGAATAACGACAAACAAAAAAGGAAACATTATTATCATTTTGCAAGTTAATCTGAAAAGTTTTGTCGATTGGCTTTTTTATTCAATATTTGTATGTGTCAATACCACGCACTTACTACAGCTTTTACTGTTATGACTTTTAGAAAACCTACTGTGTATGCTTGGCTACAGAAAATTTAAACCTTGAAATAATCGCGGCGATTTCCAGTTGTTTGGTTTAATGACATATCTTCCCTTTAATCTGTTAAATTGTGACATTGTGCTTTCTGTGCTCATAGGGGACATGTCTATATCACACCACAACGGTTTCAACCACATGCCTATCATGTATCACTTGCTTTATCTTGAATCAACACACTGTGTCGCTGTCTACTAGTGTACTAGGAAAAATTGCAGTGCCGTGTAACGTAACGTCTCCACCCATTGTTCCTAAGCTTTGTGTTTCCAGTCATGTCGCGGCTGTGGAATGAACTGTGGGAGTCGTGGTGCTGATTTCTCTCTGTGAATTTGTCTGATTTAGTCCACCTCAAACGGATTCACCAGTTGAAATAAGTACATTTTAAATGTTTTTTCTTTGCTGCGGATATTCATCATTTTGAACAATGGAACACAAAGGATTTCCAAAGCTTGGCCTGGTTACTCGCTCTGTCATCTGTGTACTTGCGCTGCAGTCCGTATGTGCCGAGGTGAGCTATTCTATCCCAGAAGAGCTGAAATCAAGAACGGTCATTGGAAATATAGCCAAAGATCTCGGTCTGGATATAACTACCCTGTCAACTCGCAAGGCCCGCATTGATTCCGAAGGGAATAACGAACGATTTTGTGTTATGAATTTGAAAACCGGAGACCTGAGTGTTGCTGAGCGGCTTGACAGAGAGAGTCTTTGTAGCAATAAACCATCCTGCATTTTAATCCAAGATCTTGTACTCGAGAATCCATTGGAATTGCATCGTATAAATTTCCATATCCAAGATATAAATGACAACTCTCCGCAATTTAAAAGGGATCTAATCCGAATGGAAATAAGTGAATCCGCAGAAAAGGGCACTCGTTTCTTAATAGAGGAAGCACATGACGCGGACATTGGTCAAAATTCTGTTCAGGGATACATCCTAGAAAAGAATGACAATTTTATTCTTATGACTGATGCCAACAAAGTTGAACTTGTTCTAGAGAGTAAACTTGATCGAGAGAGACGACAAGAGATTGAATTGCCTCTAACAGCCTTTGATGGTGGTACACCACAGAAATCAGGTACTGTGATGATCCATGTCACTGTACTGGATGCTAATGATAACGCCCCAGTGTTTAGCCAGGCCGTTTATAAAGCCAGTCTGCCTGAAAACTCTCCTCTTGATACTGTAGTGGTTACTGTAAGTGCTACTGATGCAGATGATGGGGTAAATGGTGACGTAACATACGACTTTGGTCATGTTTCAGAGACGGATGAAAAGCTTTTTTCTATTGACAGTAAAACGGGAGAAATCAGAGTGATTGGCGCCACGGACTTTGAGAAGAAAAATTCATTTGAACTGCGAGTCATGGCAAAAGATGGGCTTGGGCTAAGTTCTTATGCTAAGGTTTACATAGACCTCACTGATGTGAATGATAACGCCCCTGTAATATATTTAAAATCCATGTCTAATCCCATACCTGAGAACGTGTCACCTGGTACAGAGGTGGGCATCATGAACGTGCAGGACAGAGACTCTGAGAATAACAGACAGGTCCGCTGCTCCATTCAGCAGAATGTCCCTTTTAAGTTGGTTCCTTCTATTAAAAACTATTATTCTCTGGTGACCACAGGACAACTGGACCGTGAACTAGTGTCTGATTACAACATTACAATCACTGCCACTGACGAGGGCTCTCCACCTCTGTCCTCCTCTAAAACTGTTGAGTTATCTGTAGCTGACATCAACGACAACCCACCTGTGTTTGAGGAACAGTCGTACAGCGCATATGTGACTGAAAATAACAAACCTGGCTCCACTTTATGTTCCGTTACTGCTCGAGACCCCGACTGGAGACAAAACGGTACAGTGATTTATTCTCTGTTAGCTGGTGAGGTGAACGGTGCCCCGGTGTCCTCCTATCTGTCTGTTAACGGAGACACGGGGGTGATCCACGCTGTGAGGTCGTTTGATTATGAACAGTTCAGGAGCTTTAAAGTCCACGTGATGGCCAGAGACAACGGTTCTCCTCCGCTCAGCAGCAACGTGACCGTCAGTGTCTTCATATCAGATGTGAACGACAACTCTCCTCAGATACTGTACCCCGCCCCGGAGGGCAACTCCTTCATGACCGAGCTGGTCCCCAAAGCTGCACACGGAGGCTCTCTGGTGTCCAAAGTGATAGCGGTGGACGCGGACTCCGGACAGAACGCCTGGCTGTCCTATCATATAGTGAAATCCACTGATCCGGGACTTTTCACTATTGATCTCCACAGCGGAGAGATCAGGACACAGCGGGACATTTCTGAGTCTGACAGCATGAAACAGAACCTTATTGTGGCAGTTAAAGATAACGGACAGCCCTCTCTCTCTGCCACCTGTTCCATGTATTTACTTATTTCTGATAACTTGGCTGAGGTGCCAGAACTGAAGGATATTTCTTATGATGAGAAGAATTCCAAACTGACCTCTTACCTGATCATCGCTCTGGTGTCTGTGTCCACCTTTTTTCTGACTTTCATCATCATCATCCTGGGTGTGAGGTTTTGTCGCAGGAGAAAGCCCAGACTGTTGTTTGACGGAGCAGTCGCCATCCCCAGCGCTTATCTGCCTCCTAATTATGCAGATGTTGACGGCACAGGAACTTTACGCAGCACTTACAATTATGACGCGTACCTGACAACAGGTTCTAGAACCAGTGACTTTAAGTTCGTGACATCTTACAATGATAACACACTTCCTGCTGACCAGACTCTGAAGAAATGTCCATCAGACTTTGCTGATGCATTTCAAGATTCTTTGGAGCCCCTGGAGGTAGGCACATGTGCTCTTTTTAAACAAAGTGAAATTGCTTTATTTGTGCGGAGTTTATATACCGAAACCATTACAAATCAGCTTTGTTTGCTTTAAAGATAGTTGAAAGGGGTGGACTGATAGAGACAAACATATCTTGAAAACATGTCATGTGATTGCCCATCAGAATATTTAGTCATTTGCCCTAGCAAGCAATGACACATGCTTACCTAGAAAGACATCTAGCAGGGAAAAAATCTCAACGATATAAAGTAAAATATTTGTTTTCTGAGAATTTTTTTGTGAAGGCCTTTCCTGGGATATGCGGCTATTTCATCATCACATTGCACGATTTTTGGTTGAAGTCTGCATAATCTTGTCTAAACGCTGCATTGTCTGATGCAGAAGAAATCGGATTCCAAATACAGTGTATGGCCGTCACACTGCTTCCTGC